CAACAAGTATTTTGCTGCACATCTTATCAACATGTGATATAGGAAAATATTGCAGTACAGATAAATATAATTAAAATACATTATTAGGCGTATATGATAACACCACTTTTACATGTTGAAGAGATGAAGCAATGCAATCTTGATCAAACTAGATGAAATAAGACTCCCAATTTAATTGAATTAAATATTCTTTCTGAATTACATAGACACTTTAGAGTAGGGGTTCTCAACCCAGTCCTCAAGGACCCCCGAACTGTCCAGGATTTAGGGATTACCCTGTTGTGTCTAAAGTGTTTGCCCCTCCTAAAAACACATTCAGTATCTCCTCCCACTGCATGCAGACACTGTGACAAGGAGGCAGATCAGGGGCAGAGCCAGCATGATTCAAACACAGCCCTGGCCAATCAGCATCTCCTCATAGAGATGAATTGAATCAATGAATCTCTATGAGGAAAGTTCAGTGTCTGTATGCAGTGGGAGGAGATACTGAATCACAGGATGCTCGTGCACAGCAGATCTGAGTGGATGGAGGTATATTATGCCTTCATCAACTCAGAAGTCCCTCTGGTTCACTCTGAGTGACTGCAACTGGAGGTGTTCCTAGCTTTCAATGTAAACACTGTATTTTCTCAGAAAATACAGTGTTTACATGAGAAAGACTGCAGGGAACTATAGTTCTCACCTGAACAACCTCATTAAGCTGAAGTTGTTCAGGTGACTATAGTGTCCCTTTAAGCTTCCAACTTTTTAAATTTTTGTCAATTTGAGTAAAACCATAATTTTTATAATATTGATCTTACCAAACAAGAAGAAGCATGCAAGTCCAATTTCTTACGATTTGCTTTAATTTCCTCAAGAAGGTCCATTTAAAGTAGGTGTACGGTGCACTCCCAAATATTTAATACTGGAGCGGGCCCAAAATAAACCCTGAAGGATTGTTATAGCTGTTTTTTTTTTAAATCAAAATTCTTCATATTTAAACCCAAGATCTTATATTTAGAAATATTGATCTTAAAGTTAGCCATAAAGCTGAATCTCTCCAATTATGCTATGACTTGTGATATCAATATAATTACCAATATGGATACAGCACTCTCCTGGATCCCAGGGTGCAACCGGGCCTGTGGTTGGCCAATCCTCACAATGTGATTTGCAAAAAGGTAACATGGTCCAGGCACTCAAGTTCAATCCAGTGGGCAGATTTATTGGAGCAAAATCAAAACAGTGTTTTGTCCCACAACAGGGCCTTTGTCAAGCTTGACAAAGGCCCTGTTGTGAGCCGAAATGTTATTTTGATTTTGCGCCAATAAATCTGCCCACTGGATTGAACTTGAGTGCCTGGACCATCATTACATTTTTGACTTGTGACATCAACTGGATGCTTTCCTACGAGGAGGGCGTAATGCATTCGCTGAACTTTCCGCAAATGCGCATGAGGTCCCCCATCAGATGATGTTGGAGGAGGCAGAGCGCCAGCCTAGCGCCAAGTGATCTCGGTGCTGTAATTGGGTGAGTAATGGATATTTAACCCTGTAACTGCCGGGGAGAGGACCATAAGAGATAGGGTGACCAGAGAGAACTAAAGCGTTAAGAATACAACTTTGTATTGCTAACACTTTAGAACCCTTTTAAATTTACTTTGAATTCTTACTTTAGTAAATAACCTTCTTAGTGTATTATATATAGTATATAATACATATAGTAGAATCTAAGATCATTTACAAAATACAAAACAAATTATAGAACCATCTTTTTATGCAAACCTCAGCAAGTTTAGTGATATACAGTAAACTGAAGAGAATTTATATAATAGGCAAGCAGTGTTCCTATGGTAAGAATCTGAAGTGAACAAAATTACTACTTATGTTTTTGGCCTTTAATTTGCTTCAAACCAATAAGCATAAAAAAGCATTTGCGTCTTGTGTTATGAAAAAAGAACCAGCAATATGTTTCAGTAGTTATGCCTGCATTTTTTGGTCTTAATGTAATGAGCTCTGATGAAGTAAAAAGGAAATTTGTATCATCCACAGTCTTGCCACAGTCCACAAACTGTACTTCTACATTTATTTCAAAATACTCCAAAACAGTAATTTAAATAGTATACAAGCTTCATAGTTTTTCCGCAAATGTTTTTTAGCAGTAATGATCAGTTCTTGTTAATGCAAGAAAAGTAGAGCTTTATATCATGAAGCAAACATTTAGGTGCTAATTTAATCATCCCAAGATTAGATAGCATGATAACATTTGCAAAGGTCATCAACCCTGTTTAGCAGCGTAGAGTGTGAAGCCAGTGGCAATAATAGTTGTTTAATGTTTCCAAATGAAGGCTTTGTAATTAGGTTATGAACTCTACTTTGCTCATATTAATGTAAGAAACCTGTTTATTAGTACAAGACATAATTCAAACATAAAACTCCCAATTCAGATGGGATGAAAAGCGAATACAAATTATTGTCTATCTCCTCTTGATAATTTGGCATCCTTGTATAATCATCTTTGTGCAACTGTGGCCTCAGCCTTGCTTGTGGATTGTGTCCACGGAGCTAAGTAGGGCCTTGCAGGGCCAGTATCATGGGCTGAGAGCATCAGCTGAGCACTTTAAGGGCTATGCTTAGCTCAGGGGAAACCTTTAGCTTCTCCTGTAGGACAAGCTGGATTTGGCATGGGCATCCTGGGACAAAGGTACATTGTCAAACCATGTTTAGCAAGTTAACAAATTACTTAGGAATGGCACCAGAACCACTACAGTGATGCGTGGTATTTATGGTGCTTGGAGTGTCCCTTTAACAAACAAGCTGTAGTTATTATGGTGCTTGGATTGTTTCTTTAAATGTATGTGGAAAACAGTATGTAGTAATCAGAAACATTTTGTCTTGTTATTGTAAATGAATAACATCAACAGAGCATGAAGTAGTGAATTAAGTTAATATTTATTATACATTACAAGAGGATTGGTGAGATCCTTGGGATTGTAAACTCAAGTGGTGAAAAAAGTATAGCAAATATGCTTTGCGGTGTATGTGCTAACAGTGCTAATTTATTGGTGTCAAAATAAAGAGCAGTTAAGTTGCCACCAGAGATGAGCGGACACCTGGATGTTCTGGTTCGCCGGGTTCGGCTGAACATCGGCAAAAAAGTTCGAGTTCGGGCTCGAACTTGACCACGAACCCGAACCCCATTGAAGTCAATGGGGACCTGAACTTTTGGGCACTAAAATGGCTCTAAAAAAGTCCTGGAAACGGCTAGAGGGCTGCAAAAGGAAGTAAAATGGGGGTAAGAGTAGGACAAGTACACTGCAAAAAAATGTAGATAGGGAAATAACTTAAAATAACATAAAATGCATAAAAATGTAAAATAATAATCTTGAACTAGGAGGAGGAGGTGGATGTGGAGTAGGAGGTTAAGGAGGTGGTGACCGTGGCGGTGTAGGTGGAAGCAGCGGTGGAGGAGGAGGAGGTAGCCAACACTATTTTTAATTTTTAATTTTTTTTTTTTTTTTAATTGGGGAACCCCCTGAAATATTGGGACATATAAAAAAAAAGAAACATATGCGGCCTGCGATGCATTTCTTGCAGTCCAATAACGTCATAAGGTTTTTAAAACTGTCCGTCTCCACTAGACGGAATGACAGCATTTCAAAGGCCAGGAATTTTGAAATGCTGGCATTCAGGGCCCGGGATCGCAGGTGGGTAGGGGGGTACTTCCTCTTTCTCTCCAGTGTTTGGGAGATGGACAGCTGAATGCTTCCATGGGACAGTATGGAGATGCTTGGGGATGGTGGCAGGCGTGGTGGCAATGCCACATCCTCTGTTTGCGGGGTGGAGGAAGAAGTGGCGGAAGAGGCTGAGACAGCAGCAGAAGAGGAAGCAGGAGGAGCCTGAGACCTTTCTTGGTTTTTGAGGTGCTTACTCCACTGCAGCTCGTGCTTTGCATGTAGATGCCTGGTTATGCAGGTTGTGCTCAGGTTTAGAACGTTTATGCCTCGCTTCAGCCTCTGATTGCACAGCGTGCAAACCACTAATGTCTTGTCGTCAGCACATTGTCTGAAGAACTTCCACGCCAGGGAACTCCTTGGAGCTGGCTTTGGTGTGCTAGGTCCCTGGGTGCGGTGGGCAGTAGCAGACGTACTGTCTAGGGGACGGCGGCTCCGCTTTTGCACCCTGCTCTAGGAGGAGGAGGTGGATGCGGAGTAGGAGGTTGAGGAGGCGGTGACCGTGGCGGTGGAGGTGGAAGCGGTGGTGGAAGAGGAGGAGGAGGTAGCCAACACTGGTTTTTTTTACCATTTTTATTTATTTAATTATTTATTTATTTTTTTAAATTGGGGTAGCCCCCCAAATATTGGGACATATAAAAAAAGAAAACAAAGAATAAGTGCACTTGAGTATAACAATGGCTGGGTGAGGTCAGTATAAATGTCTGTTCTGCACAAGGTACAGACAAGTCTTTTGGGATCCATGCCTGGTTCATTTTAATAAATGTGAGCTTGTCCACGTTGGCTGTGGACAGGTGGCTGCGCTTGTCTGTGATAACGCCCCCTGCTGTGCTAAACACACGTTCAGACAATACACTGGCTGCAGGGCAGGCCAGCACCTCCAAGGCATAAAGGGCAAGCTCAGGCCATGTGCCCAGTTTGGAGACCTAGAAGTTGAATCGGGCAGACCCATCAGTCAGTAGATGTAGGCATGTGCACACATACTGTTCCACCATGTTGGTGAAATGCTGCCTCCTGCTAAGACGTTCCATATCAGCTGGTGCTGCTGGTTGTTGTGGCGTGCTGACAAAGCTTTTCCACATTTCTGCCATGCTAACCCTGCCCTGTGAGGTGCTGGCGGTGCCCCAGCTGCGTTGGCGACCTCTTCCTCCTCCTCTGCCTTCGCCTTGTGCTTCCACTGAGCCCTGGTGTCAGCTGGAAATGCCCTCAGCAGCGCGTCTACCAGCGTATGCTTGTAGTCGCGCATCTTCCAATCACGCTCCAGTGAGAGAATTAAGGACGGCACGTTCTCCTTGTAACGGGGATCTAGAAGGGTGGCCATCCAGTAATTAGCACGAGTTAGAATGTGGGCAACTCGGCAGTCGTTGCGCAGGCACTTTGGTGACTAGAGATAACCTCTGGCCGATCGCACGTCCCCGTGACTGCGACGGCACATCCAGATGTCTGCCCTATCAACTTTTGATGTTACTTTCTGCGCCTACCATGGTGACCACGGGTAACGGGGAATCAGGGTTCGATTCCAGAGAGGGAGCCTGAGAAACGGCTACCACATCCATAGAAGGCACCAGGCGAGCAAATTACCCACTCCCGACGCGGGGAGGTAGTGACCAAAAATAACAATACAGGACTCTTTTGAGGCCCTGTAATTGTAATGAGTAAACTTTAAATCCTTTAACGAGGATCTATTGGAGGGCAAGTCTGGTGCAGAGCGACTGACCCGTGCGTACTGCAGCTGAAACTCCACTATCGCCTGCTGCTGCTCACACAGTCTCTCCAGCATATGCAAGGTGGAGTTCCGCCTTGTGGGCACGTCGCATATGAGGTGGTGAGCGGGAAGGCCGAAGTTACGCTGCAGCGCAGACAGGCGAGCAGCAGCAGGGTGAGAACGCCAAAAGCGCGCACAGCCTCTACAGTGAAACTGCGAATGGCTCATTAAATCAGTTATGGTTCCTTTGATTGCTCCATCTGTTACTTGGATAACTGTGGTAATTCTAGAGCTAATATATGCCGACGAGCACTAGGGGACGCCGCTCCGCTTTTGCACCCTGCTCCCTCTTATGCTGTGCTGGTGCCTCTGTGCGACCACTGCCTCTTCCTCCAAACTGCACACGTCACTCGCATGGCCTTCATTCCATGTGGGGTCTAGGACCTCATCATCCTCCACATCATCTTCCACCCACTCCTCAACCCTGCCCTCCTTGCCGGTCTGCACACTGCAGAAAGCCACAGCAGATGGCATTTGTGTTTTTCCAGCTTGTAAAGTCTGCAAAGGACATATGGAAATTGTTTTAAAATTGTATCCAGGCAACAGTTTTCCCTATAAACTGACCTCTCAGTTTGACTTGTGAGGGTATTGCCCCAGAATTACAATATTGTTTAAGTACCTCTTAGCTATTGATATCTGGTTTAAATATAGCAGCTTGTTATCTGGTAGTTTCTAGTGTAGAAAATATCAATCTGTTTTCTATCACTTAGTCTGTTTAACAAGTGTTGTAGGTGTGAAACAATATTACAAGTGACCGATGTAGTAAATTCGAATCAAATTTCCATTTGCAAAAAAAAATTCTCGCCCATCTTCTGTGGGTTATTGCATTTTTAAGATGTAGACTTATTGTATCACACTAGCCATGCACAGGTAGATTGTCTGGCACGTTGTTTTGATGTTTGGTTTTTAACTTTGTAGTTGTGTCTTTACACAATATAGAAATGTATATTAATGCTTCTGTGTATGAAGCGATCACAATAACACTTATTTAAACAAAAATTGGTAATTAACAATATGACATCTGAAAAGCACATGAAAGGATGCTGTATGATTTAAAAAAAAAAAAAGAACACACTACATGAAGGTCCTGTTCACTGAGTGTGTAGTCATGAATGTAACCAGTAAAACTTTGTTTTTACAGCCACTGGTTGGCCTGTACATATGTTTAATTTTGTTATAGCATGACTTGTAGTCTTGTTTTTAACTTGTCTATAATACATATTTTTGTATGAGACTTACTGTGTTTTTTCATTGATTATTGAATTTTAATGGTCTAAGATAATTAACATAATCCGAAAGATTTGTCTCAGTCTTGCCTTCTATACTACCTACACCATAGGCAACATTTATTTGTCTTTAGACTTTCGTGAGAAGCTGTAACTAGCCAGTGTTGCACACATACACCAGATATGAAGTGCACAACCAAAAAAATTAGAATTTTTAAAACTGCGCTGTAACCACAGTATTTGACGGTTCTATTTGACTCTCAGATATGAAGTGCACAGCAGGCTGCAAATGTACTATTTAACACCAAAAAATTTAGAATTTTTAAAACTGCGATGTAACCACAGTATTTGACAATTCTATTTGACTCTCAGATATGAAGTGCACACCCCAAATGTACTATTTAGCACCCCATAAATTTGAATTTTTAAAACTGCTCTGTAACCACAGTATTTGACGTTCTATTTGACTCTCAGATATGAAGTGCACAGCAGGCTGCAAATGTACTATTTAGCACCAAAAATTTTTGAATTTTTAAAACTGCGATGTAACCACAGTATTTGACAATTCTATTTGACTCTCAGATATGAAGTGCACACCCCAAATGTACTATTTAGCACGCCATAAATTAGAATTTTTAAAACTGCTCTGTAACCACAGTATTTGATGGTTCTATTTGACTCTCAGATATGAAGTGCACACCCCAAATGTACGATTTAGCACCCAAAAAATTAGAATTTTTAAAACTGCACTGTAACCACAGTATTTGACGTTCTATTTGACTCTCAGATAGGAAGTGCACACCCCAAATGTACTATTTAGCACCAACAAACTTTGAATTTTTAAAACTGCGCTGTAACCACAGTATTTGACGTTCTATTTGACTCTCAGATATGAAGTGCACCACAGGCTGCAAATGTACTATTTAGCACAAAAAATAGTGATTTTTTTAAACTAACAATGTAACAGTAGTATTTAAGGATTTTATTGGACTGCAAGAAATGCACCACAGGCCTACAAATGTACTATTTAGCACAAAAAAGTGTGATTTTTTTAAACCAACAATGTAACAGTAGTATTTAAGGGTTTTATTAGACTGCAAGAAATTCAGTACTCAAATGTACTATTTAGCACCAAAAAAATTGCAGTATTTAAAAGTGCCTAGATGTTGCCCACTGAGCTATCAGAACAGGATTAAAGTAAAAATGTAGTATAGCACCCACAAAAATAATGTAGTTTGCAGATTCAACACCAGAATTCTTTCCTAATCTTTCCCTTACAGCTGCAGCATCCTCTCCCTACACTAATAACAGCTCATGTGATGTGCGGCGCTACGTGACTCCAGCTGCAACGTGACTCTACGTGAGGCTGGGTCACATGCTGCATTGGCCAATCACAGCCATTAGTACTTGCAGTGTTTTCTTTGACTTTCCCTGTGTCACGTAGCCTGCCAGATCTGGTCTGGTTTCGGAAACAGCGGGCACATCTCTTTGCGGCGGAAACACACCAGTTCATACTTTCCCTACTCAAGCGGTCTCGGTCCCGATAGGCCCTCCTCATGCTCCTCCCCTGACTCATGGCTGGGCCTGACATAATTAGCTGCAAGTCAGAGCCTTTTAAGGCTCCTAGTTAACCATTTCGTCTCTGACAATTGTGAATGTGTATGTGATTTCACATGTCGTTCAATGTCACATGCTCCACTGCAGCCAATCCTAGAGTACCCTAGGCTATTTAAAGTGCCCTGTCGTGGTTTCCATTATGGTTATCCGTGAGCGCGTTTATGGTGTTGTTTGTGTATTTTGACTTTGTCTTGTTACTTGACTATTCTGACTTCTGTATCCCTTGAACTTGGGCTTGTTATTTGACTATTCTGACTTCTTTATTCCTTGAACTTTGGCTTGCCAACTGTTTACATATAATCTTTATTCCTGACCTCAGCCTGTCCTGTACTTTTTTTTTAATACGTTAAATCCGGCCGTTCTAAGGTCTAGTAATATGCCTTAGGGTTTTCTTTATTTTTAGATAAGTTCTGTGTATTGGCATATTAGCGTATCCTGATACTAATGTCTTATATATTTTACCTTCACTTCCATTATTTCCTTTTGATTGTTAAAAACCACATTGGTAAGTTATTGCTATGGCTGTGCTGAAGGATGTGTCTGGTCAACATGACTGAGTATCTTCCCAGTGCACTATTCGTTTAATGAAGTCATGTGAGCTAAAATCACATACAATCTCATATACAGCAGATATGTACCAATGCCAGAACATTGATGTAAGTGAAGTATCTTTGCTCTTCTTACTCCATCATCAACATTTTCCAAAATGTTGCTTGCTATGCAATGCCCTATATCACATAATTGGTGGAGCCCTATACTTGAGTCGTTATCATTTTGTATTCTGTTCGAATCCCTTTTATTCACTTGCATCACTATTTTGCCATATTTCACTTTTATGTACCATTTATAGACTGTAAGCTCGTTTGAGCAGGGTTCTCTTCAACCAATCGTTCCTGTAAGTTTTCTTGTAATTGTCCTATTTATAGCTAAAGGGACACTATAGTCACCAGAACAACTACAGCTTATTAAATTTGTTCTGGTGAGTAGAATCATTACCTTCAGGCTTTTTGCTGTAAACACTGTCTTTTTCAGAGAAAATGCAGTGTTTACATTACAGCCTAGTGATAACTTCACTGGCCACTCCTCAGATAGCTGGTAGAGATCCTTCCTGGGTCATGGCTGCCTAAAATTCATCTAAACATTCAGTATCTCCTCCCTCTGCATGCAGACACTGAACTTTCCTCATAGAGATTCATTGATTCAATTCATCTCTATGAGGAGATGCTGATTGGCCAGGGCTGTGTTTGAATCATGCTGGCTCTGCCCCTGATCTGCCTCCTTGTCAGTCTCAGCCAATCCTATGGGGATGCATTGTGATTGGATCAGGCCCCCACTTCTGATGATGTCAGCAGACAGGTTTTGACTATTGACTATTCTGAGTCAAACAGCATGCAGAGCTACAGCTTCAGGTTTAAATAAAAGTAAGATTTTTCTATTTTTAGGGAGCCATGAGGGGCACAGGGGGGCTAGATGGTGGTTTTAACACTATAGGGTCAGGAATACATGTTTGTGTTCCTGACCTTATAGTGATCCTTTAAATCACCCCTCTTGTAATATTGTAAAGCGCTATGGAATCTGTTGGCGCTATATAAATGGCGATAATAATAAGTTCATCCCTACCTTTCTCCTCACAGACACATTTGCCTTATCCTGTTTAATTTTCTCTAATGTCATACATTTCCCAAAATAATAATAATAGTAATAAGAATAATAAGAATAAGAATGAAACTTTACAAAATAAACTTCATTATTTTTTTCCATTCCAGTTCCTTTTTATTCTTATACTCTATTTTTGGGACACCCTTCTAGAATTTAAATGCAAAAATGAAAAAAAAAACGTGGGAACTCTGTTTTCTTTTCTTTTGAAATAGTACATAAAGCTATATTTTACAGTACTTACTAACAATGTTGCCAGTT